TTAAGAAGTTTAGACTATAGCTCACTTGAGCTGCCTAAACCCCTACAACCCTAAACCCTCAATAACCTCATAGCAGTTACCATATTTTCTTTTCCACTACCCCAATATAACCCCGATATAACCCTAACATTACTATAGCTCCTATTCTCCCTATGTTTCATTTCATTGTCCATTTTCTTTTCTATGATCGGAGGAAATATCCCTTCAGCCCTATATAACCGCTCAGTCCGTACTCTGCTTGGCCTGGCACAACTCTTTGTTCTGATCCAGCGCCAGGTGGTAGTACTTGACAGCCTGGCAACAGACAAGTACACAGCCTGGCCAGATAGAGTCCCCCTTAAGCAGATAGAATATGGATTTGGGTATATTCTAGTAAGATCCCCATATACCCCATAGTCTATCTACCTAAGGGGGACTATAGCCCCCAGATCTCAATCTGCTAACTCAATCCACTACTCATTGAATTAGGGGTATCCTTTTGGGGTCCCTACAGTAAGGACTATCAAATTTTGAGACCTATGTTGGGGTCTCCCTATTTGAGAAAATACCAACATGAGTCAAATGGTTTGGGGTACAAAATCTTGCACAAATCCGACATTGCATAAGGACCTTGCCGCCCGAAGACGCATGAATAATATTGATGCAACCATTGGGATAAGGCAAGGGTCATACCAAACCCGTGGCATATTCATAACACTGGCTGCGACTAACTTAAAGTACGCAAGGCAATATTAATAACACCTCATAACACCAACCATAACCCTGAACTCTAAACCCTAAAACGTAAACCCTGAACCCTAAACTCCAAACCCTGAACCCTAAACCCTATCCTTACTTCAGACCTCAGATCCTGGCCTTCACGTACTCACCGTTGGAACCAAAAACGATGCCCAGGTTGTAGAAAATGTAGCTTCTGTCAATCCTAGCTCACAAGACCCCTGCTTTTATGCATGGAGTTTCGGCATAGATCATTAGGGACATCCATTATTGGAGGGGAAGGGTTGTTGTTAAGTCGGCGGTGCGGATTGGGCAGGGGGACAAGCTCTGTTCATGCTGAGCTGCGGATCTTCTTCCAGCTTCAGTGCCTGACACCATGGCTGCAACATTGTCTGTCTATGAACCCTCGCTACTGTGGCTGTCCTCTTGCTCATTGTTTTTACTGCGGGCTGCTGCCGCAGACGCCCAAAGCAAAGTGTGACGGGCCTCCGCATACGCACGTAGTGCCGCAGAGTAGTCGCCGGAGACCTGGCTTGTTTTGGGATGAGATGCAGGTCATGTTCACCCAGCTTGCCCACCTTGCCTGAGCTGCCATGCCATCACCTTAGAAGGAACTATCACAAAGCTTCTTGCCTTTAAGGGTTAGGGTTTAGGGTTCAGGGTTTAGGGCTCAGGCTTTAAGGTTTAGGGTTTTAAGGTTTAGGGCTTAGGCGCAAAAACCTGTAAATGCAAGCAGGAGTCGGTAGTACTGATAAGCATCCTTCTCTTGCTGTGAGAGGGGAATGAGGCCAATCACGACATCCGTCCTGTGAACCAGAGGCACCGAGGATTTGTGTGAGGCCTCCAAAGGGATCATGTAGGTGGAGCCCTCACGCTGTGATAGTCCTTTATAGACACTATTAACGGGCGGAGGGATCCTCCGAACCCTAAACCCTCAACCTTGGGGTTTGTCCACCTAAGGGATCCTTTAGGAGGACCCCCCACCCTGTAATAGTGGTATAATAGGAATATACGAGGACCCTAATATAATCCTTATTATCCCTTATGGCCACTATTACACGGTGGGGGGTCCACCTAAGGGATCATGTTCAAGCAACTTGCATGAAATCAAGGCAGCCAAGGATCATGGCAGTGAAGGCCTTGTCGATGAAGTTATCACCTGGATGAGTTAGGGTTTAGGACTCAGGGTTCGGGATTTAGGGTATAGGGTCTAAGGTTTTCGGCTTAGGGTATCCAGTGATAATTCGCAGAATTAGGGTCCCATTTGGTAGCCCTAGATATTAGTTGGCGGGTCAGGGGAACTTAGTAAGAAGGTCAATAATGGTGATAACTGGGGTTATTGTATAGGTTATAGGGGTTATTAAGTATACTTAGCCCCCCTGATGCTCCAAGTAGGTGCCGCAATATAACCCATAACCAACAGTGGCCCATAATTTTGAGAATAACACGCCTAGCGGGCTGCAAATGACACGAAGCCCAGTGGCTTCGTAACCCTCCCAACAGGAACATAATGATAAGAAAACTTACGATAATGATCGCAAGTACCGCGATAGCAATAACGATGCGAATAAGAACAATAATCATTGTTGTGACAAAAATATTAGCACAAATACCAATCATTGCAATTGTAACAATAATATTGACAATACCAATAACAACAATAATAATGATGACAGTATTCATAGAAATAATGCTGGTCTGCCCATGCAGCCAGGAGGCTCTTGTCATTTACGCTGACGGCTTGCATCTGCCTCCGCCACACAATCAATTGAGGGTGTACTTGGAGGGTCAGGGGAACATATTAATAATAATGGAATAGAAAATGAAAACTACTACATATTATTGAAGGTTTAGGGCTTAGGGTCAGGGGGGCTTGTAAGTAGGTTACCAACGGTGATAACTGGGGTTATTGGAAAGTGCAGTTCTCTAGGCTTTTGTAGGAGCAATGGTTTCAAAAATGGCGGGTACTCTGTTTGGAGTCCTGCAACAAAGATCATTATTCGAGTATTTGTGGTATGTACCGGTCACCCTATTCTTGCAGTAGCATCCCTCCTTTCCCTGTAAATACGTATACATATATATATACATACATATACATGAACCTCTGTATGTATCCCTGCATATACCGCAAACCCTAAACTCCACACCCCGAGAAAAAAAATAGCTGGGCTTCCGTGCACTTTCGGCTGCGGGGCCGTTCGGCGGCCGCCGGCTGCAACAAAGCTGAGCGCTGCCGACAAACCAAACACACCTTAGTGCAACGAAACAGGTTATGTATAGAGGCATATGGGAGGGATGTTACCCCAAGAATGGGGAAACAAATGGAAGAGAAAGTGGAGATGAAATGGAAACTGGGTGAGGGAGGATGCTTGCTGCAAAGCAGGGAATCTCTGCGGAGGCATGTCCTTGGACCGGGGCCGGCAGCCACAGCTGCGATGCGAACGGCTCTTCGCAAGGTTAACGCCATAAGTCCTGCCTGGTCTCAACTGAAATTGCATGGGGTTATATAACCCCAATATACTATAGTAGTTTCCATTTTCTTTTCCATTATCCCTATAACCCCAATATACCCCCATTATAACCCCAATAGGCAGAGTACACACAGCTCAGAATCAAATTCACTCCGCAGTCCTGATTCGGTGCAGGCTTGGGAGCCGTCTGAGGCCTTCTTGAAAAGCTGAATCTTGAGCCAGAGAAATTGAAGATAATCCAGGTGTCAGATAGATGCTAAAGGTGTGGGGCTCCGGGGCCATGCAAGCACAAGCTCCCAAAGCCTGTTCAGGCCACAAACAACCTGTTACAATCTCGGGCTCAGGCCTTCTGATACTGGCGGATGATGGCCAATGCTTTCCTGCAGCAACACAACTGGTTAGAAAGGGCTCATGTTCGCGTCCACGACTACTACCACCACCGTTGCTACTACCTCTCCTGCTCCTTCCTTCAGCTCGTGCGATTCCTACACGTGCTGCTGCAAAGTCTCCGTATCCTTCTGACTATGCTGAGGCATATGAGCGCTACTTCTATAACCCTTGTTCCAGCCATGGTCATGATTATGCTCACAACTTCTTCTCAAGTACTGGTTCTTAGTAGGGATAAGGGAATATATTAGACAGGGATGATATAGGGGATTACATTCCCTTCATTCCCTACTATAACCCCACCATACGCCCTATCATAATATGGAAATTTCCATTTTCTTTTGCTTCATCTCCATACTCCCATACTCCCTCCTAACCCGCAGTAAGGTGAGTACCCTACAATAACCTCAATATATACCCTATTCCAAAATAGTCGCTTCCATTTTCCTTTGAATTGCCCCACATTCCCTACTAAGACCTAGTAATGTCACATAGGGATTCTATAAGGGATTATATTCCCTTATTCACTACTATAACCCCAATATATGCCATACTAAGACCCAGTAAGAAAAAGTTCCAACCCTAAATCCTGAACGCTAAACCCTAAACCCTAACGCTCACCTGGCAGGGTTCTCCCAGTGCATTCTGCTCAGGTGCAGTTTTTTGACGCAGCCGTTCCAAAAGGGCCGGGAGGGGGGGGTGCAGTAGCGCATGCTGCCATGTGAGGAAGTTAAGACCTGCCCTCTGATGAGGATTGATAGCCACACAGGCGACGGTGGCAAGTAGGGGGGGGGGGCAGCAGCGTACCAGCCACAGAGGCTAAGCTACGAAGGTATGTCAGTTGAACGTGAAGAAGCCATGGTTGCTCTTGCCCTGCTAATTCTGCTTCTCTGTGGGTGGCTGTCAAACTTCGCCACAGCACAGGTGTAAAACTTCCTCACTATGCAAGGTACGCTACTCCCGCCCTCCCCCACTTTACTTGCCACAGTAGCCTGTGTGGCTGTCAATCATCATCAGAGGGCAGGTCTTAACTTCCTCATGCAGGAGCCTGGTTTGCACCGGGTCTTACGCACCCTCTCAGTCTTCCGAAACAAAGTTTCAGGTGTCATGCCTCCCACGGCGGCGTTTGACAAACCTTTGTGGAAGTTCTGAAGTGCGCCCAAGTCTCACACACAGCAAGAGTGCTGCCTCGGCAATAAGAAGCAAAATCTCTGACTGTCCTTCTTCCTATGTCGTAATTTTGCGTCTGAAACTATAGCGAAACCCACGAACCTGCAAATTGGCCACGCTTCGATGGACGAAACACACTAGTTTGGAAGACCTCCAAGGCCAAGATGTGCTGAACACATTGGTTTTTGTACGTTTTCCTGACATTCCAAACCCCCTCGACTCCTAACAGATTTTTCCAGAAAAATCTGGTAGGTCACGACCCCCGCCAAATCAAACGTACTTCCACTAAAGCTACGAAGTGCTGTAATTGCCACATGCTCAGGCACTTCCGACTAGAACTTTAAGCGTGTTCTCTTCTTCTTCCCGGAGAACCTACCCGGGAGCGCGAACCCTAAACCCCAAACCCTAAACCCTTAAACCTAAACCCTAAACCCTTAAACCTAAACCCTAAACCCTTAAACCTAAACCCTAAACCCTTAAACCCTTGAACCCAAACCCTAAACCCTTAAACCTAAACCCTAAACCCTAAACCCTAAACCCTTAAACCTAAACCCTAAACCCTTAAGTAGGAAAGTTCAGGCCTGGCCAGCTTTTCCAGCTCCTCGCGGTTGCGCTTGTCCGCAGTCATGCGCTGGCGTTTGGTGAACTGGCCTCACCAGACTGGGACTTTAGTCCTTATGAGGGTTATATAGGGAATATATTGGGTATCTATAGGGATAATGGAAAAGAGAATGGAAACTACTATTTAGGGTTTAGGGTTTAGGGGTTATAGTTCCCCTTAAGTAGATAGACTATGGGGTATTCTAAGGGCTATATAGGGAATTATTGGGGGTTATATAGGGATAATGGAAAAGAAAATGGAAACAACTCTATGATAACAGGATATATATTGGGGTTTTAGTCCCCCTTAAGTAGATAGAATGTGGGTATAGGGGGATCTTATTTTAATATATCCAAAGCCATATTACTATGATATCTACTTACGGGGAATTGCATACGGAATTACAGGAACCATTCTTTACAGGATATGGGTGCGTAACACATGGGGCCTCAGGGCTCTAGAGCACTTCATCAGCTGTCTTTTGAGATCGATCTCCAAGCGTAGGATTAGGACATCACACCACCACAGCTTGTGTTCATCTTTCCTTCCGAACTTGCACTACGTTCAGGAAACAATAATCTTCTATGGGGTCTCTCTGAGCCCTTTCAAATCACTGCCTCCAAAGTGGTGGGGGCGAAACTTGCACGGGAATCCGTGTTGTGATGGGAACCGCACTAGCTCGGTGCGAGTTCTCATAAAACTCTCTAGGACTCGAAATCGCCGTTGTATCCGTCTTAGGGCGTCGACCATTCTTCGCGGTGTCTTGCTCCGCCGTCCGAAGCTTCCCGTACCTTAGCAGCTACCACCACAACTACCACCACACTCAACATGATCGTCACTGCGATGTTCTCGCTGCTGCCTTGCCTCTGGACAAATGCTTTCTTTAGTAGCTTCCATATTCTTTTCCATTACTCCTATATACAACCCCAATATACTATAGTAGCTTCCATATTCTTTTCCATTACCCCTATTATATACAACCGCAACATATACTATAGTAGCTTCCATATTCTCTTCCACTACCCCTATATACAGCCCCAAAATACTATAGTAGCTTCCATATTCTTTTCCATTATCCCCTATATACAACCCCAAGATACTATAGTAGCTTCCATATTCTTGTCCATTATCCCCTATGCACAACCCCAATATATACTATAGTAGCTTCCATTTTCTTTTCCGTTACAACTATATACATCCCCAGTAGACTATAGTAGCTTCCATATTCTTGTCCATTATCCCCTATATAAGACTCCAATATACTATAGTAGCTTCCATGTTGTTTTCCATTATCCCTATATATAAACTCCTAGCATCCCACTTATATCCCCTATATGATACCCTCTCCTTTGAGGAATCTAGACTATGGCGCAAATGCTTTCTTCTCTTGCCACGCGGCAACGGCCTGAAGACCTCCTCCTGTAGCCAAGTGGACACGTCTGCATCAGCATCTTCCTGACAAGTGGGCTGCGTTAAGGAACTTAAATTGAGTTACCATAATGGGTATATAGGGTATATAGTGTTTAGGGCTTAAGTTACCATACTGGGTATACATAGTAATTAACATGGTTTCGACACTGTAGTGACTTAAATTAAGTTCCTTAACAGCAACCCCAAAAAAGGCTGGAGGCTTCTCCCCAAGCCATCATTGGGACTGGGGCTCAGGGCTTGAAGATGTACATTCCCCCAGTAGGGCAGAAGAGATTCAGGATTTTGGGCTCAGGACCTCAAGGGTAGACCTCATAAACCAAGCACAGGGTCTTGCCCAAAATTCCATGGGTCGTGGGCTACTCATGCCCTGACGAGATTTTGAGAAACTTTGGAAAGGATACAGCATGGTGTGTTTTACGCAAAGAGATCAGGGAGCGGGCAGGCTTTGAGCATGCATCTGGGAGTGCCAAGAGATTGGTGGTCTGTCCCGTAGGGGCCCAAGAGGTATACCTGAAGGAAAAACCTCCCACAAAGAGAATAGGTTCCTTGGTAGCTCTCATACCAATGCAGACTGGCAGAGAAACGCAATGCTGACATGCTCCAGGTCCTTGAGTTCTTGCATTGCCTTTCGGGAGCTGGCTATCTTCTGGCTAGCCTCTGCCGACCTGCAAAAAGTCCATCAGCAAGCTGCAAAACAGTTCTAGACTGCTCTATCCTTATGGCGCGCAAATCCTGAACCCTAAACCATAGGAGATTGTTGGCAGACCCGTTTGGGGGCCGATCACCTAGGGGGTTCCACCAGGGACCATGCAAGGGATATATTGACAAACACATATGTTGACTCACAGACACATGCAATAAGCAGCTGACGTGGCTTCCATCGAATCAAGCTTGGCTATCCTCAGCTGAGTTTGTCTGCTGGTAGTTGAAACAATTGGGAATATTTCCTCTCGTAGAATGCTATATCGAAGAGGACAATGTAATCCTACTCTAGGTTGGGGACAATTCCTCGTCTAATGAACTACCAATCACTTGGTGTAGTTCGCTTGTCATTACGGCCTTGGCCTTAGTATTAACCCGAGAGTTGCTAAAGAGTTGGGAATTGAGGAAATGTTACGGGCTCCGGTTGGTGCTCGTGATCATGGGTCTGTGTTTGGGCTCCCTTCTTAGAATCGCCAGGCGGCACGTGGACAGGAAAGAGGCGATGAACCGTATTACGCCATACTGTGGGATTTTGCACAAGTCTGGCAATCTGACGGTGACCGTCATACTCAGGATCCTACTTGTGTTAAACCCTCAGTCAGCCTTCGGCACATCAATGTAGCAGTTTCCATGGATGGGGGGAATTGGAGGGCCACCAAGAAAGGGACTGGTAGTTTCCGTAAAAGCTACTCCCCATAAACCCTTCTGTGTCCACTTCCTTCTATACCATTTGATGCTCAGTTATGGGGGGGTAATACCCCCAAACCCTAAACCCAAAACAGTTTTCATTTTCTTTTCCATTACCCCTATGTAACCCTATAGAACCCTTACATAAGCCTCGGCAATCATTATAGCAGTTCCCATTCTCTTTTACACTATCCCAGCCCCAAACCCTAAACCCTAAACCCCAAGCCCGAAACCCTAAACTCCAAACCCTAAACCCTAGACCGCAAACCCGAAACCCTAAACCCCAAACCCTAAACCCTAAACAAGACAGGAGTCAACTCAGAAGGCTTTACTTCATCATTTCCACGCAATGATGCAGCAGCCTCCTGCGTGGGGAAGCAGCTCTGGCTCCATCTTGGGGACCTCTTCGGGGTCCTTTTAAGGGGGTTAAAGGGGGATATATATAGGGCTATGTAAAATATAGGGTGAAGAGTTTTCGTGTTTTTTAAAAGTAGGGCTAACTTTGCGGGGTTCCTATAATCAGGATTGTAATATATTGGGGTCTATATTCGGGTCCCCCTATGTAGGGAAACTACCATAATTAGGGTTTAGGGTAAATTGATGGGTCCCTTTTTGGGGGGTATGTAGAAGGATTTGGGCTACCTACAATAAGGACATCTAAGCACTATAGCCTGCACGATAAGCACTATAGCATTTTGGAAGTCTATATTTCTACTCCGCGCTATGTCTTAGGTCCGAGCAAGCGAGCGCTGCACAGCAGAAGGCACATCATCAGAACTGTGGCCCAACCGTCTTCAAGACTAGGTCTATATTTGGGTCCCCCTATTGATGGCAACTACCACTTGACACCAATGACTGCCCAAACCACGGAGTCTCCATACAAACCCGGGGAAAACCCTCTGAACCTTTAACTTTCAGATATTCAGATTGTTGCGTGTCAGGCGTGTGATCCGGTGAACATTTTCACGGATCGGGCTCTATTTTACTCCCGCCGCCGCTTTCGGTGAGGACCTTCAGGAGCTGCCTCCTGACCATGTGTCTCACAATCACTTTTGCCTGCTGTGTAGCTTTGGGGCTTGGGGTGCAGGACTATGGATATGTGATGCAGCATGCTTCCACAAGGATGACTGGCACGGATGCATGACCGCTAGGTTCGTGCCACCAGCGCTCCCGGTGCTCTACAAAGCCAGTTCGGCACGTACACATGTGCAGTTGAGCGGCATATTGCGGTGGAGGAATCTGCGGTACCTCGCGCACAGCAGGGGCCAGCACTGGCGACATTCAATCTCATCAAAAAAGGAGTAGCTTGGCAAGCAAACTGCCAAGAATGAGCACAATGGACTGCAAAAAGAGCTGTAGGCCACAGGATATAATACATATATAGCACATTGCATTTGGGGGTTTGCTTAGCTACTGAAATTTGATGTTGTTGACTAGCCATGTTCAGAGTCGAACCATGCTGTGATTCTCCCTATTGTTGGAGGAATCAGGAACCCATACAGGACTGCTTCGAGGAGCTTAATCAAGTAGGATTACAGTCCCAGATCCGCTTTCTGAGTCCCATGAACCTCCAAGAGTTGTCCTTATAAAATCCTGCGTAATCACCTTATGATCCCACATATCCGCCCAGTCCCTCAGGGATTCACATGGACCCGTTTTCGGAAACTCCCGTACGAAGCACGATGGTTGTTCGCGGTCTATGCAAATGGACGCCCCTAATGCAAAGGTAGATATGAATGATGAATATGCGTATATATCTGTGCTCACCAATGTTCTGACGAACCCGGTACACACTGACCAAAAACCGCAACGAACATCCTACATCATACCACTGTGACCAAAAACTGCAACGAACATCCTACATCATACCATACTGACCAAAAACCGTAACCAACATCCTACACCATACCGTGATCACTTCACATTGGAGTCCTTACCCACTTATATTCTCAGTTTAGTGTCCCAATAGCAATGAAGCCTAAACCCTGAACCCTAAACCCTGAAACCCTCAACCCTATATCCTAAATCCTAAACCGTTGTCCTAAACCCAAACCCCAGAATCTAGACCCTGCAGTCCCCCTTAAGTAGACAGAATATGGGGTATATGGGGATCTTATTATAATATACCCAGAGCCATATTCTATCAACTTAAGGGGGATTACATCTGGCCATCATATAGTTGTTTCCGTTTTCTTTTCCATTATCCCTAGATAACCCCAACATATTCCCTATATAACCCTTATCATACCCTAAACCCTAAACCCTAAAGCGGGACTATAGGCCCTCAACCTTAAGGGACCAGAAGCCTCAGTCCAGAGCTCGTCCTTAGAGTTCGGAATCGCTTTCTTGGACTGCTTCTTCTTTGTTTCCTGGGATCCCATGAGTGCTTAGGTAGTAGGGTAGTAGGGTCTAAAGCTCAGGGTTTAGAGACTCAACTGGAAAAGAAAGTGGACAATGGAATGCAAACTGAAGCTATCTACAGGTTTACCGGGAGTAGCTTTGCCAAAGAAAAGGTCCCTTTCTGGGGGCGCCTCTTCTAAGGATTGCAATATCCTGAAGATTACAAAGCTGTGGGGTTCCCTATTGCGCATTCTTGGTTCCTTCATCTGGGGATATCTGAAAGCCTAGCTGGAGCAAGTGGGCTTCTCTGGAAGGTTTTAAGGTTTAGGTTCCCTGGCCAGGCCATTCAATACCGCCCATTAAAGCCCAGGTACATTGGAGAACGTGCTCACATTTTACTATAAGAGGTTCGGCATGTTGAATACTGGTCGGATGGCTAGTACTCGTTCTTCCGCGTAATGTAAAGTGAGTTACCATCATCATGAACAAGGCCATAACCCCTACGTAACATCGGAAGTTATGAGCAGTTTGGAATCATGATTTTGTTTCTTGGCAGGTGGAAGGATGGGACTCAGCTGGATCGTGCTTGGTCTCTGTCGAGCCTAGATACTCACTTGTCGTTTGGGTTTACGCATGGGCGTCTAAACTCTCAAACTGAGTGCTCTTAACCCTCAACACTAAACCCTCAACCCTAACAACGACCCAGTGTCCCTGATGAACGAGGGACAAGCGGGCCTCAGCTTCCACTGCACATGTGAGCGGGCGTTTGCATTATGGCTTCTTAGGTTCTTTACTCAGGCTGTGGGCCGGGTACTATTAAGGCTATATTGGTGTTATACTGGGATAATGGAAAATAAAATGGAAACTACTATTTAGGGTTATATGGAGTTATATAAAGAATATATAGGGATAATGGAAAATAAAATGGAAACTACTATTTAGGGTTATATTAGAGGTTATATAAAAAATATAGAGATAATAAATACAGAGAATATATAGGGATAATGGAACATGAAATGGAAATTTGAGGGCCCTTTTGTGGCCAAGTGTTTGGGGTCTGGGGAGCTGTGCCTCGTGCCTGGTTTCTGCATCTGTTTCGGTACTTGCATGGAACCAGGCAGCCTGAGGCAGTTTTTGCGAAGGCTTATCCTTGCAACCGCCTGCATAGTTCAACTGCGGTTTAGGATTTGCCGACGTTCACTAGCGTCTAGAAAGGTTTCTTTGAATTGTGGCCTACTGGCAAATTATGGAGATGATGTTACGGCAGGAGCAAACACGCAAGGAATGGCAAAGGGAAAATTGCATGTTCTTCTCGAAGGTAAATTGAGTTTTCGGCTTCTACAGCTTGAGGCTTGGGATCAAGGTAGATGTATGCGGGAAACAAACAATGAAGATTAAGTTCCAAAGGTCCTTCGACCCAAACATGCATCCTACCCTCCGCGCTGCGCAGTACGGGCAATGACCTTGCGCTAAAAAATGGTAATCCGTGCACCCGCTGCAGCCACGCGACACTTCGAACTCAATGGCATCCGAATGCCAGTTGGAAGGTGGTGGCGCTTCCTTTGCAGCGGCCAGGGACGCGAAACGGCGAAGGACCTGAGCGGTGTCAGGGCTTGCTGACCTCCCTTTTCCTGTGACACCAAAGTTCAAAAGGTCTTCTGAACACGCACCTGGCAGCATATGAAGGCACATCAGCCAGGCGCAAAACATCACCCTCTTGAAGCTGTAGCACTTGGTCTTTCATCAGCCGCTGCCCATTGACAAACGTGCCGTTCTTAGACTTGTCCGTGATGTGCACAGAGAGATGTGATGCAGCATGTTGCTTCCATGGCACCATGAGGAAGAGCTCAGCATGTTCGTTGGAGACCCCCTCATGGATGACACGAAGGCCGCAGTGCTCTGATCTTCCAATGCAAACCTGAGTTGTCCTTTAAGCCCTCTGAAAAT